TACATTGTCCCTTAAGAAAAAACCGCTAAAAAAAAAAAAAAAAAAAAAATCTAAGATCCTTCAGGGAATACCAAAACTCTGGGACCTACCTGGAATTTTAGACTCTGATAAATGACCTCAACGTCATGTGTCATCCTGACACCCTAGTACTCCCTTGTATTTGGTCTCCAAATACACAGAACTATTCACTTTGTCCTAAATAAGCCTATGCTAAGTCTTTGTCATTCACCCCTCCTCCTGAAATGCCCTTCCATTACCTATCTGCTGGCAACCTTTAGGCCCTTGTTAAAATGACTTTTCCACACGAAGCTCTAGCTCTAACTTGTCCAGTTCTAAGTAACCACCCTTGTCTTTAAGCTAGTTTGTGAAATATTTCTTTTCTTATTTTTTTTTTAAAGTTTTGCTAGGAGGCACATGCACTCACTGGAGAGGGAGGGAAAGTGAGAAATCATCCCAAAGGTGATGGCCGCACTGGAACCCCTTCTCCAACCCCTCTGCGTCTGGGGCGTGCATGCACAAGCACGTGGTGTGTTCCTGAAGCCTCCAGGTGCAGGACCTGAACCCCCACGTGGGATCTAGCTGCCTTAACCACCGCGCCACTTGCCAGCTCAAAATATTTATTCTCCATCCATCAGGTTTTCACATTGTGCTCCTCTGCTCTCTCCTGCTGAAAGATGCTATGATATAGATTTTCCCATCATTCATAACCCTCACACGCAGTTACACACTCTATTCAACCCGACCTCTTCCAAAACACCCGGTGGTGTGTGGAGACCTGCAGGGCTGCCACAGCTTGGAGGGTGAGGGGGTGCTGCTGACACTGTGTGGGCAGAGGCTGGGCATGTTGCTAAACACCTTACACTGCACAAGCCATCTCCCCGTCCTCACCCCCAAACCCGGCTCTATAATAACATCGATAATGCCAAGGATGAGAAAGTTTAATGTGCTCATTTAAAAATAAGGCAGCATAGAACATATTTTGTAATATATTAACCAGAGAAAATCACTCCATTCAAATAGTTTAAATGCTTAAAAGATAAACCACACTTTACCCAATATTTACATAAGTGAATGTGCCCCCAAATAACATATAAGTCATTAGAAAAGCCACAATGTATTTTTCTAAGCAAAAATGCATCATGACTTTTCCAGTGACCCAGTATTATTACAATTAAGCCTTAATTTACGTATTTATCACCTTGATAATCATATATAAAAGAAAAAATAAAAGGGGTACATAGTTGAACAACCTGTGTTTAATCCAAAAAAGAGACTCACCTTCAAAACATCCCAATATGCCACATTATTATTGGTATCTTTGGTTAATATATGTCTCTTATCATTAAGAATGTGGCACTGAATAATACTAGCTCCCCCTAAAGGGAAAAAAAAACATTAGCAAAACAATCCTGCATTTAAATTCAGAGTACAGCAAGAATCGCTAACTGGTATGTAACAGGAACATAAGCCATACTGACCATAAGAATCGCTAACTGGTATGTAACAGGAACATAAGCCATACTGACCATAAGAATCGCTAACTGGTATGTAACAGGAACATAAGCCATACTGACCATAAGAAGGAAGGGCGAACCAGAAGACTGTATAATTGTGTCTATAACAATTTAAGGCCAACCAATTATGTTCGCTTACACTCAAAGAAAAACTGTCTGATTTTAATAATAGGTTATATGTTACAGGATTCTTCACTTCAAGGGGCTACCAGTGGAAAAACAGTTTCTTTGTTTGATTGTTTTTTAGAGAGAGATTTTTGCTATAGGGCTCATGTGCTTGCCAGAGAGACAGAAAGTAAGAAATCACCCCCCAGAGGGGATGGCCACATCACAATCCCTTCTCTTCTTGGGATCTAGGGCACGCACACACAGCCAGAGTGAATTTTAAGCCACCGGGTCCAGGACTTGAACCAAGGTCGACTACATGGTAGTCCAATGATGTAACCATTATGCTATCTGCTGGTCCTGGAAAACAGTTCTAACCACAGAGGAAAGTCCAAATGATGATAGGACTTTTAGCCCCTCTTGTTTTAGTCCCATCTTGCATTAAAATGCTTGCTTCCCATCTTATCTTTTCTGTCTCCTCAATGGGTCTTCTACGCTAAAGGTAGGAGCATGGACATCTACGAAGAGATAAATGTGTCATGGAAGACTCTCTGAAAAAAAAATTTTTTTTTTGGTTGTTGTTAAAGGATGCATGCGCTCACCAGAGAGACACAGAGAGAGAAAGAGAAAATGAGAAACCACTCCCTCCACGGGGATGGCCATACAGCGATCTCCTCTCCTCTCCTCTCCTCTCCTCCCCGGATTTTGGGCACACATGCTTGGAGTGACTTTATCAAATTGCCAGGTCTGGGACTCAAATTGCACAGTTGGCCATGTGGGATCCAGCTGCCTTAACCTCCATGCCACCTGCTGGCCCTTGCCCTTATATAAGATTCTAAGCCCAAACTCTGACATTAAACAAACCATTTTTTGCCACTTCCAGCTTGCAGCATACAGAACTTTAGGACCACATCTGCCCTTTCCTGACTTGTGCCAAAAGACATTAGCTCCTATACATATTCAACGAAGTGGCTATTGCTTTTACCTTGGCTGTTCTTATGTTGGGGGGGAGGGAGTCATCTCACAAAAGCTCACTTCTTAAAGTTACTCAAGAGCATTTTTAAAGATAGTACTTTTTTGGGCCAGCCCAAAAGCACAACGGTTAAGTGCTGCAAAGAGAGCTGGATCCTACAGGGCCAGTCATGGTTCGAATCTCAGCTTGGCAGCCTGGAAAACATGCCAGGTGTGTGTGCCCAGGATCCTGACCGAGAAGGAGAAACAGGGAAGGAGATTAGGCCATAACCAGGACCCACTGTCAAGTGCACTTTCCCTCTGGCACGCATATGTACCCTCTGGCAGTCAAAGAATAATCATAAATATTTTTTTCTAGTATTAAAAATAAGCCAATATATTAAGCCATGCCTTTACTGGAGAGACTGAGAGGGAAAGTGAGAAATCATTCCCCAGGGGGGATGGTCACATTGCAATCCCTTCTCTAGTATTTTCCTCTCAGGCTTTTGGGAATGTATGCACATGAGCCCAATGTGATTTTTAAGCCACCAGGTCCAGAATTCGAACTGTGGTCAACCATGTGAGAATCCAGCGCCTTAAACTCCATGCCACCTGTTGGCCTCTACACTGGAATTCTTCTAAAGAAAGAAAGATCATAACCATTATTTTTGTCAATCTCTTAATAATTATAATTAACCTCTACAAAAGATGTGTTTCCCAATTTTCTTACCTTTAATTACCTGGTCCGGTTGTGTGCAAAGGGGTGTTATAGGATTTGTACAATCATTGTCATAATCTCCAGAGGCTCTAAAATTATGAATTCCCTTCAATGTCTAAAAGAACAGAAATTGTTACACAATCATTTTATGCTCTATAAGCTTTCCCAGTTTCTTTAAAATGGCGAGAAAAATAAAGAACAAAAAAACTAACAACCCTACATCAACCAAAAGATAGCCAACGCATACAATTACCTACCATTATTTTAAAAACACGATTACTAAAAAGGAATGCCATCCTTTTGTAAAGAAAAATGGACACAAGAGCAGAACTCTTTTTTTTTTTTTTTTGGAGAGGTTTCTCGCTATAGGGCACGTGCGCTCGCCAGACAGACAGAGAAAGACATAGAGACAGAAAGCGAGAAATCACCCCCCAGGGGAGATGGTCACGCTGCAATCCCTTCTCCTCCATTCTCCTCTCGGGATCTTGGGCACACACGCACACGCTCCCGGCGTGAGTTTTAAGCCACCGGGTCCGGGACGCGAACCGCGGTCGACTACGTGGGAGTCCAGCGACATAGCCATTACGCTAACTGCTGGTTCCCAAGAGCAGAACTCTTCTAGGTAGAATTCTGGTGATCACAAATGAGCACAATAAAATTTAGACAAGATACATAACTTTATTTGCAAGTACACAGAAAGAGCACTTCATCTGCAGAGAAACAGGAACAGATGCAAACTTTCTCTGTTATCCAGGCTGGGTAAACGAGAAAACTCAAACCTTTCTTTAATTAAGATTTAATCATTGGGACCAGCAGTTGGTGTAATGGCTATGTTACTGGACACCCATGTAGTAAGTAGATTGCGGTTTGAGTCCCGGACCCAGTGGCTTAAATTCACCCTTTAAACTTAATCTGGCTTTGGTGGTCATTCATTCAGTGGCACTCTACAACAGGACCTGGTGGCTTAAACTCATGCAGGGCATGTGTGTGGTGCGTGCCCAAGATCCCGAGGGGAGAATGGAGGAGAAGGGATTGCAGCATGGCCATTCCCCCGAGGGTGATTTCTCGCTTTCTCTCTGTCTCTGTCTTTCTGGGAGTGCACGTGCCCTATAGCAAAAACCAAAACAAAACACAACACAAAAAACAGGGGAAAAGAGATCAAAAGTATGACCTCTGACCCAGAAAGGCTAGGTTCTTTGCATTCTTTTGCCCTTTAAAAAGATTTACTAATTAACAGTGATTGGGCCAGGCTTCCTGCTTAGTGGTTAAGAGAGTCAGATCCCAGGGAGTGGGGACAGCAAATACTCACACCCAGCATGTTTTCAAGCTGGGTGTGAAGGGATTGTGGCGTGGCCATCCCCCCTGGGGGGTGATTTCCTGCTTTCTGTCTCTCTGTCTCTGTCTGTCTGGCGAGTGCACGCGCCCTATAGCAAAAACCTCTCCAAAAAAAAAAGCAAAAAAACAAAGATGCTTCGGATGACTTCTCTCTGTTTAGCCTCTACTTCTATCCCTGCTGGATATGCAATGAAGAAAAAGGAAATAAATGGGAAGGCACAATTTTCTGCTTTCTTCTTCTGAGAAAAAATAGAATCCTGAGCAGTTTTGTGGGGTTGGTGTTTGGACTGATATTTCCAAATGCAGCCTCACAGGTCAGGAGTTGTACTAACACTCACCTTGTGTCGCTAGGCGACAGGGCCTAAGCTCAGAGTTTCAAATGTACACCTTGGCTGCTGACAACAAAGTCAGAAGCTCCATCGTTTTGACCATTACTTTAATTTCGGTATGACCTTTGGATTACACCTGCATTCAGAGGTAGGAGCTTTCAGATTTTTGCCATGGCCGAGGGGCAGGGTTATCGTGAGCATTTGCTACTGGTGTCTGGGGGGTGATTTCCTGCTTTCTGTCTCTCTGTCTCTGTCTGTCTGGCGAGTGCACGCGCCCTATAGCAAAAACCTCTCCAAAAAAAAAGAAAAAAAATAAAGAATGCTTCGGATGACTTCTCTCTGTTTAGCCTCTACTTCTATCCCTGCTGGATATGCAATGAAGAAAAAGGAAATAAATGGGAAGGCACAATTTTCTGCTTTCTTCTTCTGAGAAAAAATAGAATCCTGAGCAGTTTTGTGGGGTTGGTGTTTGGACTGATATTTCCAAATGCAGCCTCACAGGTCAGGAGTTGTACTAACACTCACCTTGTGTCGCTAGGCGACAGGGCCTAAGCTCAGAGTTTCAAATGTACACCTTGGCTGCTGACAACAAAGTCAGAAGCTCCATCGTTTTGACCATTACTTTAATTTCGGTATGACCTTTGGATTACACCTGCATTCAGAGGTAGGAGCTTTCAGATTTTTGCCATGGCCGAGGGGCAGGGTTATCGTGAGCATTTGCTACTGGTGTCTGGAAGGTCTGCGATGACAAATAGCAGGTTCACCAACCTCTGCCAGGAATCGGGGGCTCACTTACCCATTTATTTACTGTGGACTTAGTTGTTGCAACCCAGATTGCAGGAGGGGGATCAGCGGACCTATCAAGCTCCATCTGAAAACAAAGAACAAAAATATCCTTTGGGGAACGTCGATGGTTCTGAACAGCCAGGACCAGGTACACACTCATACCGAGTCCTGCACGGGACAACTGCACGCGGACTACACCAGGGCACGTGTTTAAAGCTAGGGATGTAAAGAAGAATGAGGGAGTCTCTTTGATAAAGGAATTAAAGCCCTATAAAAGTGTACTAGGGTTGATGTCTTATAAAAATAGTGGCTGAACGGCTGAAAGTTTTAAATGTAATTAAAGAGATCTAAATGAATACAGTCAAAAGGATTAACATTTTCCCTATTTTTTTTTTTTGCTTTTGCTATGCTGGTTTTCATGCTCTTCATAACAAGGAAATACATTTCTTTTTACTTTGAAAATGTTGGAGTAAAATAAGAACCCTCCACCTAAGGACAGAACACCTGGGAACAGTTTACTATATATTCTCACGTATTTTTAAAATACTGCACATGTAAGCAATATCCTTACATGCATGTGCATATTACACAAATGGAATCACTCTATATTCGCCCAGTATTCTTTCTCTACCAGAAAACTGCAGGTTAGGCATGACAGGGACGGGGCTAGACACCTAGCTGGCAGGAATCCTTCTAGTTCAGTGTGACGCTCCTTGTAAGAGGGTCACGTCTGTGCCAAGGTTCTGAGCCTCTTCGGCACAGCCAAGGGTCCTGGCAGTTGCAGGACTCAGGGCAGCTTCTCCTCCTTGCTGGTCTCCTCCCCCAGCCTGCCGCCTGCCCACACGCTGGGTCTGCACCAGCCTCCACACGCGAATCCAGCCTCCACTCCTCGCCTCTCTAAGGGACGGCTGGTTTGGTCCATCAGGATGTGCCGTCTCTTCCGAGAACTACACTTGCCCAGCTCTGTCTGAGCTCTTAGGTCACAGGTACCTGCTCAACTGCCTCCGCTGACCCGCATGCCCTTCTCCAGCCCCAACTCCTGCACAGATGGCTGAGGTTCCAGATGTCACTTAGTTTCACAGACGATCAATACTCAACTCTGTTTCTTATTTTCCCTTTTTCCAGATAATTTTTAAGGAAAGAGGGGAGTGCTATCTTTATGCCTCTATTTTAAATTTGCAAACTGCTAGACTGCCTCGGAGGCACAGCAGTAACATGCTGCTCAGGGCGGGCTGAATCCACACGGAGGACTCCGGGTTCAGTTCCCCTATCAACCTGTACCCACCAGGCAGGTGCCCGAGGTCCTGGTGGTGGGGAGGCTGGTGGGGAGAACCCCGACTGAGGCCCTGCTGAGAGCGCTAGTCTGGCTCTCTCCTGTCTCTTACTCTTATGAAAGACAGACGTTTTTGTTTGTTTTTAGTGTGGAAACTTCCTGTCATTTTAACGCGAATTCTGTGGTTGTGAGGGAGTCTGCACACCTGGTCATATGATGACTGTTACTTTTCAGTCTAGGCTTCCCTTTAGCCAGTGCTGATACGGCGGCTCCTAAAGCCGCCCTCCGGCACCTTCACACGCATCACACCCCGACAGGCTGCGGTGAGTGGTGGGCTGCTCTGTGAAGGGCTTGCTCCCTCTCCTTCAGGGGGACTCGCCCACACCCTTACTGGTAGCCTGGGACACACTTCCCAGCTCTCCTCTGCTCTGCTGTCCACTCACATCACCTTCACCCTCAAACCCCTCCTAAGAACAGGTCAGGAAGGCCACACGCACTCAGGACCACACGCGAGACCACCTCACTAGAAGTCACTAGCGGGCATTCGTGTATCACTGACATACCAAAGTTACGAGTTTTTCCCCCTATAAGCTTCTTAAAAAACTATTTATGAAGCAAAAGCAAAACAAAACTGCCCCAGTGCAGATAACCTGAATATCTAACACCAATATTCTCCATC